ATCCTTTCCATCCCTCTGCCCGGCGCCCCTTGCCACCAAAGGGGAGGACCTGCCCAACCACCCCTTGGTGACCTCTGGGGCCAATGGTTGAAAACAGAAGTATCCCGCCCCAACAGCCCTCAGCCCAGCCTATCCGGAGCGGAATGAAACCGTGAAAACGGGGGGGGGATTGAGGAAAAACAACCAAAAGTAATATTCCCGTGTCCCCAACCGTCCACAATAAATTCCCGGTCCCCCGAGGTCCCCACAGCCACCACCCCCGCAAACCCGTTAACACTGTGGGGGGGGTTTGGGCAAAGAAACCTAGCCCTTTCCCCTCCCAGAGGCGCCGGAAACATATTGCCCAGAATCTTCTTCCGAGGCCCCCGACTGATAGTTTCATGCCTCCATGGGAACCCTCCTCCCGAAAATTCCTCCCCAGTCCCCCATGGTTTTTTTTTTTTGCCTCTGCCAAACAGCCCCCGGCCCGCGGCCAAAACGCTTTTGGCCTGGCCCCCGGTAAACTGGAACCACGCTGGCCTCAGGAAGTCCCCCCGAACCATCATGGCTCGAATAGAACCTACCTCCCTTCTGCCCTGGACTGCAATCCCTTTACTGGCCCGGTGGTCCCACCCTCCGGGTTTCCGGGGGTTTTTGCCCGCCGTGACCAGCCACCAAGAAGGAACCCCCTTGGCCCGACCCAGACAGCTACAGCCGCCCGCTCGGCGGAAGAGGAAAGGAGAACATGGCCACATCGGAACTTCAATATCCCCCCACCTCCTCCCGCCGGGAAACCCCTGGGAGAAGCTCCCTTCCCGAGGTTGTGGGGGGTTTTGAGAAGTTCCGGTTCCCCCACCCCTGGACAGGGCCTTCAAGCTAGAAACCGTTTTCCCCAGCAAAAAACCCCCCTCACTACACTACTTGGGGGTCCCCCCCCCCAGCCCACAAAGGGTTTTCTTTGACCCCGGCTTTTTCTTCCCCCTGCCAAGCCGATCCAAAACTCCCCACGACCAGAGTGTGAATCGATTTGACCAGCCCTTCCCGCCCCTTCTTTTAACCCCCCGAGTTTTGGACCCCCCCCCCCCCCAAAACCCCACGCTGGCCGAAGGTCCCCAGAATGATACGACAAACAAAAAGGTCGATCCATCCGACCTCCCGGCCTAGGGTGGTTCACCTTGTTGCCCCACGACACTGGTGGACACCCCTTGTGGCTTTCAAACAAAAAGGTGTTGGTTTTTTTTGTTCGTGATGGACCAAACCCGTGACAGCACAGAAAAAGTCCCAACAAAACTGAAACAACCACCCTCGGTTTTCAGATCAAGGGGGGGCCCCATTTTCCTTCCCCCGATCACCCCTCCCCCTCCAAGTTTCCACTGGCCGCTTTTTCCCCCCACAATGGTGGTTTTAAAGTCCCCCCCAGGAAGAAATGAAAACGGAGTCCCCCCCCCCCCCTCCCCCTCGGGCGGTGGGGCCAAACCGTACACCCCCCAGTACCCCCGTCCCAAGGACTCCAAGAAGGCCCGAGTTTAAAACCTTCCTGCCCACTGCTTGTTTTTAGGCCCCGTTAGGCCCCCGTCCCACAACTGTGGGGGAGAGACCTTTTGTCCCCCACCCTATAGGTTGGGAAAGGGGACGCGAACAACCACTCCTTCATTCACCGGGGGATAACTTCCCAACACTGGCGGCTGAATTTTTGGGGGGCAACAATGATTTAAAATGGGTCCACCCCACCCCCTTTCGCCCGCCTTCTCCCCGCGAGAAAAACAACCAGAAAAAGTTAGCGTCCCCCAACCCCTTTCTCCAAGGAGTTTTGGGTTTTTTTCCGAAGGCCCCAAGCTGTTGGGGGGTTGTGTGGGAAGGTGGAGGCCCCGACTAATCCTAGTTCCGGTTACTCGCTTCCCCAACCTCCCCCACAAGCCTCGGGGCTCCCCTACCCCCCCCAGTGGGAGTTGACGTTTCCACGTCCCCCCAATGAGGCCCCCAGAAAAACAAATGGTTTTGGGGTGTGCCGGACTGGGTCGTTCGAGGTCCACTTCCCCCGCCTTCCGACCTGCTTTTGGCCCCAGTCCCCCCCCCCCCTCCTCTGCAAAAACCTCGTAAAAAACCTTTTGAAAATCGTAAACCCCCCTGAAATTTTAGTTGACTGAAAAATGTTAAGGGAAAAAAAAACATATTTCCCAAAAAATGGTTTTTTTTTTTCAGGTTTAAAAAATTTCAAACGGAAAAATTTCAAAAGCAAAAAAAAAAATTTCACTAAATCTATGAAACAAAAATCTTCCATAAGACCCCGTCGCCTTTCCCCCCTCTGAAATAAGTCAAAGATCGTAGGGAAAACTGCCTTTATTTACACTCTTCTTTTTTGGTTAACTTTTCCCATCATCCCGGGGACCATACAAAAATACAAAACCCATTTTAAAAACAGGTTTTTTTTTAATTTTTGTTTCAAGCGGTTTTTTTTATTTTATTTTAAGCGGCAGCTGAAGCCTAAATGCCATAATAACAGTAAAAAAGCAGGAGCCTACAAGTACTTCATAATTTTTTTTTCTTTGGCCAATCAGAGGCAAATTGGATACTTTTAAAGTTTATTAATTTTACTGATTTTATTTTATTACTAAATCTAAAACACAGAAAAAACACATAGCCAAAAGGTGGGGGAAATAAACCTGGTCCCCAATAGGTGGGTTTTTTTTATTTTAAAAATAAAGAAAAAAACCCATTGGTTTTTTTTTTTTTTTTTAATAAGGAGATAGCCCCCTTTTAACAACTATTTTAGAAAAAGTGGCCCCCCTCCCCAAATACATGTTCCCAAGCGTGCCTTTCCCCATTCCTATAAAAACTGGCACAAAAAAAAACGGTATGAGAAAAAATGTTTTGTAATTGGGCAAAAATAAATGGGGGTTTTTATTGGCTAAAAACACACAAACATCCACAAAGTTGTTTGTTTTGCTTGAACTAATTTTCCAAATATAAGCAATAAACAAATTTTTTTTAAACATTTTTTATACTCGACATTACTTTAGCAAAATATGGAGTAGCTTCAAGCTCATCCACAGACCAGTAGGACTCAATACTTGGCTTTTTGATGAACCCAGTGATGAAACTGAGCCCCAAGAACCGTTTGAGTTCAGGGACCGAGAGCTCTTTCCACCTGTTACTCCTGCTGTGGGGCAAAGGCTCAGTGTTTGTCTCCAAATACTGGCTGGCATAGAGGTTCGTCTGGTCCACGATCTGTTGGAGCAGTTCCTCCGTCAGGAAGAGCTCCAGAAAGTCAGCTGGATCAGATGAATCCAGCTCTCTGCAGCAGGTCCCTGAGGTCCAGGTGCTCCAGTGAAGGACAACTGACTCGGCTCCCACTCATCCTCCTGCCAGCCATCTTCCCCAGAGCCTCTGCGTGATGCACGGGCTGCAAAGTGGATAAATACAATTACTATATTATACAGTGAATTTGTTACAATAATAAATACATAAAATACAATGAAGGCCACCCTCCCACATTATTGACTGACTGCTTTTGGACCAAAACAATAGTTGTATGCAAAAATGAATGAATGAATGAATGAATGTTGTACATTCATTCATGTGTAAATGAATAATGTACAAAAACAATATACATAAAAAAATAACATACTAATAATATAGTATACTATATTATATTGCCATATGATGTGCAAGAGAAGAAATTAGTTTATTTACCTTTCTTTGCATTGGAACCGCCTCTTGCTGCACCACCTGTAAATAATAGGAATATGTATTATTCATTCATATATATAAAAAAAATCTATCTACCAGGAGAATATACTAACAAAAAATATATACAATGGTATGAGGATGAATTATTACCTCTGCTCCTTGCTCTGCCAACTCCAATGGGAGAAGGCTCTCTACTTTTATCAGAACCTGTGAATGTAGAACATTTCATTTAGTCAGAGCTATGACACTATAAAAAGATATAACGAAACAAATACATAATAAATACTAAACTGATAAAACATAAGTGGCATGTACTAAAGAAGCAGTAGGGATTTGAGCGCGGTGTTACTTTGAAGATCAAAGCAAGTTTCCGCGCCTTTCCCTCCTTTCAAGTCAGCATATTCTAGGTAACATAGCAAGTGCTTACCTTCAGCTCTTTCTGGAGAGGATGCTCTGCTGATATCAGACGGCAACCACTCATCTGATGAGTCAGGATCAGGTTCGCTGAAGTCATCAGAGTCAGAAAAAGCCGCAGGTGAAACACTGCGAGAGGCGGCAGGCGTCTCCCGGCTCCTCGCTCTCCCTCTGCGCGAAGTTGGCCGCGATGATGGACCCTCGGCGGGGTGTAAACTCGCTTCCCTCTCTCCCTGACTCACTGATCGACGAGCCAAACTCTCAAGCAGTGTCAACTGCTTATAACTCGCCATCACTCTCACCTATATAATCTCAACTATCTCTAAACTATCGCTAAATTCGCTACTCGCTATGCTACTCTCTCTCAATGCTACCGCCACTCCTCCTCCTCTCCACTGGCTTTTAAGCTCTCCTGTGGCGCGACACTGCATCCTACTGGTGTTGATTTATCATTACAGGTATATTTGTACAATGTATCAGTATTGTGGAGCATGCATAAGGTGCGCCAGACATTACTGTAGCCTCCCATGTAATAACATGAAAAAGTCGTCTAAGTCGTCTTGGGCAGTGAGCGTCACTATACAATAGAACGACTTTTGTCGTCATGGGCAGTGAATGAGTTAAAAGCTAAAAGCCTTCAGCAAAAAAATAAAATGCAAAACACATCTCAGTTAAACCTCGTCCATGAAACATTCTTGAAGAAAATCCAATTTGTGTGTTGTGTCTGCCACAGGCTGCTTTTTAAACGCAGTGTCATAATTTTAAAGAAAAACCACTATTTAAAACGTACGCCATCTGATTTGGACTTTTGCATTTCTGATAAGTTTGTGCATATATGCAGCACAACCTGTACTCAATCATGTAGATTAAATCTGGTCAGAGGAAAATATTACATTTGTTACACCTGTGACAATAAGATGATTAAAGGAAAAATACCTCCTGAAGCAGCAGCCAACAAACTGGAACTTCCACCAGTACCACCAGAACTGTCACGACTTAATAGCTTAGAAACACATCTCATATCTCCAAACATTGTTTTATAAGTACATGGCATTGCCGAAAACTAAACAGTCTGGAATTCACGGTCCTGTTGTTTGTGTACAAAGCAGAGTTAGTCAAACATGTGAAAATCTGTTACCTCGCACTGGTTCCCCTGGCTTAATTTGCGTCAAACTTAAACGTAAAATAACTTACAAAGGACATTATGAATTTTTATTTGTAGACCCTGAAAATGTGAAAGAGGCTTTGTGCTGGCTGAAAAAACATAACATTCAATTTGAGAACGTTAACTTAAATGCAAATTGGATTAATGACTTTGCTCAGAAAGACACTGTGACAGACACTGTGACAGACACTGTGACAGACACTGTGACAGACACTGTGACAGACACTGTGACAGACACTGCGACAGACACTGCGACAGACACTGTGACAGACACTGTGACAGACACTGTGACAGACACTGTGACAGACACTGCGACAGACACTGTGACAGACATTGTGACAGACACTGCGACAGACACTGTGACAGACACTGTGACAGACACTGCGACAGACACTGTGACAGACACTGTGACAGACACTGTGACAGACACTGTGACAGACACTGCGACAGACACTGTGACAGACACTGTGACAGACACTGTGACAGACACTGTGAAAGACACTGCGACGGACACTGCGACAGACACTGCGACAGACACTGCGACAGACACTGTGACAGACACTGTGACAGACACTGCGACAGACACTGCGACAGACACTGCGACAGACACTGCGACAGACACTGCGACAGACACTGCGACAGACACTGTGACAGACATTGTGACAGACACTGCGACAGACACTGCGACAGACACTGACAGACACTGCGACAGACACTGCGACAGACACTGCGACAGACACTGCGACAGACACTGCGACAGACACTGCGACAGACACTGCGACAGACACTGCGACAGACACTGCGACAGACACTGCGACAGACACTGCGACAGACACTGCGACAGACACTGCGACAGACACTGCGACAGACACTGCGACAGACACTGTGACAGACACTGCGACAGACACTGTGACAGACCAGGATGAACACCTTTATGATTAACAGCAACATGGTGTTTTTATGGACACTTGTTCAATGCCTTTAGACTTGGGCCAGGAGACGCTGGACCAGTATATGGACAATGTTGTAAGTGTCGCTCCCGCCGAAGGGAACAATCCCATTAGAACACTTTCTGATCAAACAAATGAAGCCAAATGCTTTCCAACAATATTAGTCACTGGCACCAACACATTTCATACCCCCAGAAAATATCCTTTAACTTTATGCAAATATCTTAAACTAAGGATCCTCAAATAATATTGAGTATCTATTTTATGCAGACAGCACATTGATTTTGTACAGGGTAATTTCTTGTGTGTCCATAGCAACACGTAAAGGACAATTTGATACAAACCATGGAAATGATGGTAATTTAAAGCATGTCATTGAGTTTAATGGCGGCTTTAGATTTCTATCACCAATTCCAGGGACCCCTGCATACTGGTCTCAAGCCAAATCATCAGTATTCGCTTTGATTCGCCAGCTGGGTATTCCTACATGGTTTTGTTCTTTCAGCGCTGCTGATCTCCGCTGGAAAAATCTACTTGAGGCCCTCTTGATTCAAGAGGGAAGAAGTCAAACAGTGGAGGACTTGAATTGGACAGAATGTTGTAATCTTCTAAGAAAGAATCCTGTACTTGCAGCACGCATGTTTGACTACAGGTGACATTGTTTCAATAACCTGGTCATTATGTCTCCTGCAAACCCAATTGGAAAAGTTGTGGACTTCTTCTACAGAATCGAGTTTCAGGCGAGAGGCTCGGCACACGTGCATGTTCTTTATTGGATAGAAAATGCACCTCAAATTGATAAAAATTCAGATGAAGAAGTGACAGCTTTTATTGATAAATACATTACATGTCAACTACCAAAAGATAATCCTGCATTATTAGACCTTATAACAACACTACAAAGTCACTCAAAACGCCACACTAAAACATGTAAAAAAAAAAACAACAATGAATGCAGATTCAACTTTCCAAGGCCACCATCCACTCGCACATTTATCAAAAAAGTACAGCAAACAATAATATGTCCCAAATGCAATTTGGGACAAGCCACAGATTGCATCTGTCCACCCAATAACCCTGATCGAATGAGCCAGGAAGTGGCTGAAAGCATAATGTTTCGATATATACAAGCTTGTTTAGAGGAAAAATATAATACTGTAGCTGAGGTATTTGCAAACCTTGGTCTAACACAGGACATGTTGGAAGAAGCATTTCAAGTACTTGGGGGCCATACAAAAATCATTTTGAAAAGAGAACTGGATGAAATTTGGATTAATCAGGCAAATTGGTTTGTAAACTGGATTACTACTTTGCTGGGAAGCAAATATCGATATCCAATATGTTGTGGACGGCTATGCATGTGCAGTTTACATTGTGAGCTACATTTCAAAGAGTGAAAGAGACCCTGGATGGCTGCTTTTAAATGCACAAAAAGAAGCATTGCAAGGTGGCGTCAAAAACAGATTTGACTGACGTGTTCAAAATTTGGTACAGAAATCCGACAAAGATTCTCCAAGTTTAACATCTGTATTTAATTTATCTTTACAATCAGATACAGAAATTCCAACAAAGAGAGCTCCTAAAACTATGCATGTCCCTCTCTGGCCCTCGGCTGATCCTTCTGTGTCTCCTCAAGCCAGAGCATTATCAGTAGATGTCCAGGAAGCAGGGGGCGTGTCGTATCAGTCAGGTCTTGGGTCCAGGGTCCGGCCTCTTCCATCTGGTCTCCAGTCCGCACCTAAAAAGAATCATTTACGCACTACCCCTCCCTAATTTCTATAGAAATATTACTTCCTTGAGATAAGGCCGGAGGCTCTCTGGGTCCCCCTCCTTCTTCAAACAACTGGAAGGATTAGCAGAATCCCCCCAGATTACCTATCATTAACTCACCCATGCACTTTGGACAAAAATGGGACCAGGGGAGTGGGGCAATACAAGGTCTTTCTTTTTGCTTGGAAAAAGACAGAGTTCAATTCCGTGTCAATCTAATTCACATCGGCTTTTAGTCTATATTTAATACAACAAAGGCAATGAAGATGCTAAAGCAGCCATGAAAAAAAATGGGGTCACTTTACCTCAACAATCGCGAAGTGTCTGCACAGGAAGCTGCATATAAAGTGGCAGGATTAAATCTCAAACCGTTCTCACGAAATGTATGTTTTATTCCCGCAGGGGCTAATATTATTCGACTTTCAAAACCCTTAAAACAGCTTCAGGATGATTCATCTGACAACATTTGGATGACAAACATCATAGACCGTTACATTAATAGGCCCAATGATGACACTTTTCAGGACATGTGTATCTGTGTTTTTGTATCAGAATACAGAATTCTTGCAAAGGGACAAACAAGCAAGAAGCCTGTTCTCCTACAGAAGTCATTAGGTGCCATTACAAAACGAGTTAACACAAAACCAGCAATTGTCAGATACCCTCGTTTCTCTGAAACACGACAGCCAGAACTGTTCTATCAGAGTATGTTGCAGTTGTTCCTCCCTTATCGGACAGAGAGTGACTTAAAGCCCATACCGTACACCACATTCCAAGAATTTTACAACTGCGGACAAATACGTCTTTGTAGTGGAGCCCTGACTTCAGTTAAAACAATTGTTGATGCAAATAAACGAACATTTGACATACAAACAGAAGACTTGGAAGAACTACAAACTCAAGTAAATGTCAATGACAATCTGGAAGATGCATGGTGTGCTCTCTGTCCAGCGCAACAACTTGAAAGGCTGGAAGACAAGGAGGAGGGGGTGTACAGACGACAAGAAGAATCTACTGACACAACAGAAATCCCTGAATTAGACACCAACAACAAAATTCTACATTTGGAAAAAACAAACATCCTATCAAGACACGAAGGTTTGGCTCTAATCAGAACTTTAAATGACCAACAGATGGTTATCTTTAAACAAATTAGACATTGGTGCTTACAGAAAACTACAAATAAAACTCCTGATCCAATCCATGTATTCATTACTGGTGGTGCCGGTACTGGAAAAACTCATCTTATCAAAACCATACAATACGAAGTAACAAGACTATTGGCCCCCATTTGCCAATCACCAGACAGTAACAGCATTTTGCTAACAGCGCCAACAGGCATAGCAGCATTCAACTTGAAGACCACAACTATTCATTCCACATTTAGCATTGGAATTGACGCCCGTCTCCCATATGTCCCACTGGGAGAAGAGAAGCTCACAAAATTACGCACCGTTTCATGATGTTCATATAATCATCATAGATGAGATCTCTATGGTCTCTTACAACTTGTTGGCCTATATTCATGGCAGGCTACGACAGATAAAACAAACCGGTGATTGTCCATTTGGAAATGTAAGCATTATTGCTGTCAGCGATTTCTACCAGTTACCTCCTGTTAAAGGGAGAGCTTTATTTGAGTCTCGTGTAACCAGGGTAAGGGTACAAATCAATTAAGTCATATAATATCTGGAGTGTTATGGGCTAGAATCAGAAGGCTATAGTTTCGACTCAGAGAGAGAGAAGGCAGAGACTGATTGCGGTTTGGTTGGTACCATATATTCAAAAGGTGTCACATATACAACATACAGTGGAGGAATTGAATGGCCATTCAAGGTGAAAGCAGTTTGGAAAAAACCATAAATTATGTACATATATACAGGTCGACAAAATTCATATGAAAGAGCATAGTGGGACAGTCCTTGTGCCTCTATGTTGCGAGTACAGTTCCTTTGTACTTGCACTTAGTTCAAAAGTTCAATAGTTCATAATTGTCTCAAACTCAACGCAACCAAAAGGTAGGGAGGTTACCGACCAGAATTGTGGGTGGCGTTGAGTGTGCAAAAAGGGGTGGCTCGAGAGCCTCTACCAGCCCAGGCTGAGCAGGTGGTGGGGTCCTTGGCTGGAAGCTCCCAATTATTGATTTCCGGACTAGATTCGTTCCTTTAGCTCGCCATCACAAAAGGGCCTGGCCTGTGTAAGAGACAGGTCCATTCATATCAAATCAATGTGCACATATTCAATCATTCATCTCAATTAACTAACCCTAATTGTATTATTAGGTATTGAGAATGAGTTCAATCAGCATAATCAAACAACAGTTCATAATCATTCCATCAAACATGTACTAAAGTGCTATGGTACTCATTAGCAGCATACATTTATAATAGTCACGCTTATAGTCAAACACAAATACAAATACAGTCATTTCAGAGTAGTGTAAGCTTAATTGATAAAGTACATATCTTTACTGTGCATGTCATGTAACAATACAGACTAAAAACCATATATGCATAAATAACTTCCACTGGTTTGGGTTAAAACATTATTTAAATGGACATCTGAGAAATATGCCATCAAGCTCGTACAGTGAAAGTTGTTGAAGAGAGCTAATGCTAAGAGCTAGTTGCACAAACATAGACTCACCAATTCGGCTTCTAAGTCATACGCAGGTCGGATGAAAAGTACCCCACACTGGCAATAGGCTCTATAAAGTTTGTGAATAGCAGTTAGTTTAGGGTCCCATGAGAGTTACAGGTGAACAAGAATCGGAACATACCTCGAGCAGACGGAAAACCTGCCTCCCCTTGCATCTACTGGCAGCTTCCTACCACCGGTATATAACTAAAGGTTATTGGACCACAGCGATCACGTGAACAGGAAGAGATGCACAGCATCCAAAGATCAACAGACAGCAAGAGCATATAAACCTCCGCTACAGTGCAGATCTGACATCTGGGTTACACTCGTGTTGGATTCAACCTCTGGGATGACTTGTTCAAAGTGGCTGAACTCACAACAGTCGTGCATCAACAAGACTGTACCTTTGCTGAGGTGTTAAACCGCTTAAGAACACATCAAAAAGACACATCGTTGCTTTCAGATGATGAAGCTCTACTGAAACGCTGTGAAACTGGCCAGAACACTTGTGCCCTGTATATCTTTCCAACTAACAATCAAGTCGAAACACACAATGCCAAACAGCTTAAAATCACCTGCCCAGACCATATCACTATCGAAGCACAAGATTATAGTTATAGCAAAAAAAACGGCAAACTAATCGCCTTTCAAAAGGGAGTAGTTAAATTAATGCAAACTTCACTCTTGAATGAATTACCCATTGGTGTCAATGCAAGAGTCATGCTCATCAAAAACATTGATATCAGTGATGGACTTGTAAACGGTGTATGTGGCACAGTAACTTTCATAGACCACCCACGGGGACTTCCGGCGAGGCGCGAAGCAAGATGGCGGCACGGCGTTGAGCTCCGACTGAAACCCCCCTAATATGGTTAATTTTGGAAACCTCAAAGACTTAAATTGCTACTACTGAGTGTGTACGTCAATCCCAAAGTAAGATGACATCAAACAAACTTGAAAAAACAACCAAAAAGCAGGAAACCACTGGTTGCGAACGTATTGAGTTTGCGGAGCTAGCAACACTGGTCAAACAAGCATTAGCCACGGAGATGACAACTTTGCAGACCACGATGATAGGCATGATCAAAGACGCAGTTAAAGACGCTATGATACCCGTGCAGAAAAGTGTATCAGACATGGAAATCACTTTGAGAACAATGACTGAACACATGGCCTCACATGACAAAAAGTTTGACACGGTGTTTAACAAGATGGAGACCATCCAAGCTAACCAGAGGAAAAACGAAACCGAAACTGCACGTTGCCTGAAAGAACTTGCAAAGTTACGAGAAGACTTGGTCGGGCAAGAAGATCGTAGCAGACGTAACAATGTACGTCTGGGAAACTTATCCCCAGGAGTGGAGGGAGATGACCCGCTTGGATATATCCAGAAAATGCTGCCAAAGTGGATCCCCGCGCTCAGCGGTAGATCTCCCATTGAAATAGACCGGGCTCACCGTATCTACTCCACGAGAAGTTCCAAAGCCCCACGGGTCATGATTTTTCGCCTCCTGCGTTACACAGACCGGCAGGCCATCCTGGACGGGGCGAGGAAGAGCAGACCAACACAGACCACACTTTTCCCCGGACTACAGCATCACGACGAGTCAACGGAGGCAGGCGTATAATGAAGTCCGGGCTAAGCTTCGCAAAAAGGGGATCAACACGTTTCTGATTTACCCAGCAATCCTGAAGGTGAATCATAATGGTCAACGCTGGTCCTTCAACACTCCTGATGAAGCCAAAGAGACGCTGACTACGCTGCTTGAGGAGACCAGCTAGGACCCGGTTACAGCTGACTCTCAATGATGCGCCAGGTTTGAAAACATGACTGTACTGCTCGTTTGATCTCTACGGTTTCTGGTTGTAAAAGTTATTGAAATGTAGCTCGTTTAACAATATTACCTAAGCAAGGTGTATTTTATTTCTTTTGATATCAGGTTAAAGTTTTGCACACTGTTTCTAGTTGACGTTGAATACATAAGAGGTTTTTGTTTATGTTGTTAAGGAATAAGGGGGCGGGGCCGCGGGTGCAACATTGCTGAGTGACGCTCACGGAGCAAGAAGACAACATCGAGGGAGGAGGGGGGAGCGGGGAGAGGAGGGGGGAGGAGGCAAAGGGAAGAGGGTACGGGGTAGGGAGGGAGAGGGTGGGAACCACTACCAATGTTAAATCTTTACAGAACCATACCACTGAAGCTCTGAAACCAAAAAGTTTAAATGTTTTATCTTTTAATGTGAAAGGCTTGAATTCTGCTTACAAAAGATCAAAAATCTTAGATTTTCTTAACAGGAAAAAAGTAGATATCGCCATTTTGCAGGAGACCCGTTTGAGGCCCAAAGATGTTCCTAGGATGCAAAATAGATTGTACAAACCTGTGTCATGGTCCTCGGATGGCTCTTGTACAAAGGGTGTATTAATAGTTATGAAACGTAATTTAAATGTGTCTGTGGAGAAAACTGGCTCTGACGGAGCTGGTAGAATGGCATTTTGTGGCGTATCGATTCAGGGAAAAAAAATAGCATTTGTTAGTTTATATGCACCAAATACATTTGAAAATGACTTCTTTCCATCAATCACAAAGCAACTTCTTAAACTCACTGAATACCAACTGTATGTGGGCTCTGATATGAATGCACAGATTGATGTAGATCTTGACAAATCAACACCAGTTTTTTCAGGGAGTCAAGATGCAGCCTCTGGAGCGCTCAATCTCTTCCTATCAGATTTAAATATTAAGGATATATGGAGGATTCACAACCCAGCAATAAAGGATTACACATTTTATTCAACCCGACATAAAACATTTACTCGTATTGATTATATCCTGGTATCATCTAATCTGGTCCCTCTTGTCAATTCAACAGAAATTTTACCAAGATACATATCCGACCATAACCCAGTCATGTCAACTTTTACTTACAGTTCTATGAAAAATAAAAACAGTAGGTGGAGGTTTAACACAACCCTTCTTGGATGTGAGGATTTTTTGAGATTAATCAGAAAACAACTAACCGAGTTTATATCTTTGAACAAAGATTCTATTAAAGATAAGACAATAATTTGGGCATCAATTAAGGGATGTATTCGTAATGTAGCAATACAGTTTAGCACAAATATGCATAGAAATAAACTACAAAAAATATCAAATTTTGAAAATGAATGCAAGAACTTGGAGAGTGACCTCAAAAACAATTATACAATGTCTAAAGAAAATGCGCTTAAATCAAAATCATTTTGGCTCGTGCACAAAAGTTGGGCATACCCAAATGTCTTTGCTTATTTAAAAACACATCTTACATCTCACATGCTTGTGTGATGCATCATTTTAAAGCTAGAGCCTTCTAGTTTATGTAAAAAAACACTAAAATTATGTTTGTCATTCCTATTTCCCTCTGCATCCTTTGAAGTTTGGGAAAAAAACCAAATTTTTTTAGCCTCGCCTAACATTTTCAATTTCTAAAGGCCCTAAAAAAGGCATACTTCATTGTAAGTTCACAATATTTTTTATGCAGTTTCTCACAATATTTTTTATGCAGTTTCTCCTTTTCATCAAGTAGTGCACATTTGGCACAATTTGGCAAATTGTGCCAAATAGCTTTACTGACATTTAATCATCATAAAAACAATATTTTTTATTATTGGTACTTATAAGTTACTAATCTATGTGTTTTTTTTTTAAATGTCAAAGTAATTTTTTTATGAGTGTAAATTCATTGCAGCTTCGAGAGCGTCTTTTGGCTGCCATTACGCACAATTCTACAGGCACAACATAAGACAGGACACCATTGTCCCACCCCTTGCTCGAAAGCTTTCCTCATTGGCTACACGGACATGTCAATCAAAGATCCCGGAAGTAAATGCAAACAAGTAGGGACAACAACAAAGATCAGTGATCCATGCGCAAACAGCAGCGCTAGCTGTACTCACGGGAGCTATTGCAGACCCAAAAATTGGTCTAGCTTTTCGGGAGTAGTCTCATTTGAAAGATAAGGAGCTAAGGAACACGTAGATACCAGATGTTCGGGTGAAAAACAAAGCTAAAAGTCTGTTAAAAGTGAAAGAGAAACATCTGTGCTCTTTTTTTTCGTTTTTTTCGCTAAAGATAAATGCACATTTTTGGATTATTTCTGCAGAATGGATTTTACTTTGGGAAATACAAGTGGATATAATTTTCCTTTGGACTGTTCCAGAGAGAATGATGTATTGAGAGCTGGGAGGAGAGCTGATTTATTTGTACAGCACAAGCCCAAAGGTAAAAAACTATTTCGGAATTGATTTATTTTGTGCCCACATTATGTGTTATATCTTTTGAATGATGTAGTTAACACTTGTATATAAATGTAGATAAGAAAATGAGCTTTAAAATGATATACAGCTTTTGGGGTTTGGTGTTCAAAATACATCTGCTATCGCCAGAAGAACATTTAAAAACATAAAAACGGCACGCCGGCGCGCCGGTGGGTGTTAAGAGGCAGAAACATGGCTGACTACACAATCCAATGAACACGCACACCAACACTGTCTCACTGCAAAATGCCAACCTTGAATGTTTAGCAACACACTTTACTGAATACAATATTCTCCTTGCTGTGATATATCGTCCACCATCATACCCTTTGACAATATTCAAATATAATTTGGGCAATTTAATCACATGGTTGGATTCTAAGTACACAAACATTGCTATTGTGGGAGACTTTAATAATGACATCTTGAAATCTACAAGTATATGCAAATTCATGGAAGAAAAAGGTTTCTCTCAATGTGTCAACACTCCAACTACTTACAGACAAACAATAATAGATCACATATACTTGAAATCCACACAATTTGAAGCAGACACATTTGTGTTACCAATGTATTTCAGTGATCACCACTGTATACAATGCTGTTTTCGACCCAAAATATAACCTTATCACACTCAAAAAGTCAGTCTTGCAATACATACAAAACATTTCAATTCAACATTTGCCTTGTAAATAACTTGTATATAGTTTATATTGTTTTTATGCATTTACTTTGTGCCCTATGGGCACCAAAAAAGGAAAAACACCTTTTGTCAAAGTACAGTCATTATCATGACAATTATTTGTATCAAATAAAAATGCACCAATAATCCCTTTTATGTAACACGATTACTTAACAGTACGATTACAAATGTGTAACTCGTTAATTTGTATATACTGTGACACATTTCAATAAACTTTAACACGCGAAATAAAATCTGTGTACATCATTCTTTATTTGCCACTTGACCATATCATAAGATAAGATGGGATATACTTTATTGATCTCACACAGGAGAAATGTACATGTCACATCTGGCATGGATAGAAAACACTCCAGATTGTGCAAAAGATAGAAATGTGCAACATGTTAAATGCAGAATATATTATGTACAATAAAAAGTGGCAACCAAGAAACGGTGTCAATAAGTAGTGCAGGTTTTCAGTCCTAATGCAAGTGACTTAAAGTGACTTTACAGTCTGAAAGCGATGGGATAAAGGCCCTGCGATATCGCTCCTTTTTGCAGAGGGTGTCTCAGTCTTCCACTGAAGGAGCTCCTCTACAGGCCTATGCAGCGGTGGGAGTTGCTGTCCATGATGGAGGTGACTTTGGCTAGAACCCTCCTGTCCCTCACCTCCTCCAGAGTCCAGGAGGGCCAGCTATCATATCAGTTCATATGACTAGTAACAACAACTCTCGCGGTCGCTTGTGGCGAGGCCTTTCATTGCCGCTTGCGGCTTTAATTAGAATTGTTTATTGAATATGCGTGTATGAATATATTGTCGCTGGTATGAACACATCTGTATCGTCAACGATACCTGCGCACATGTTTTACAAATGATCAATTTACTTGCAAACGGTAAGACATAGCGACTTATTTTTTTTCCTCTGTGAAGTACATTCAGGGCTTTTTCAAAACTAGTTTTGATTTGTCTGTGCGATGCACGGAGGATAAACTACGTTTGTCTGAAAGTCCGTGTCCAAAGCGTGACCCGTGAGGTACAAACAGCTGTGAGATACAAACACACGGGGACTGCCAAAGATCGTCAGAGAGTGAGATGTCTCACTCCTCTGTGTTTACTTGTTCTCCCACAGTTGAAACTACAGCTGCGATTGCAATAACCGGCTGAAGAGTGCGCATTATTGATAAAGACGATAATAAATACAGTAAAATGACATTATGTGTATATGATGTTTTATTTATATTTTTTTGTCTCAGTTTCTTATGTTTTACGTTTTTTACAGCTGTGCTACAGAAGCAACCCCAGCATCATAGACAAACTGCTTCAGGAAGGGCATCAGGAGTACAACGTTTTTTGCGTTTATAGTGTAATTTTGTAAAAAGTATAATAGTCACAGATTCAATATTTTTTCCCCATTATCCCCAAGACCCTAAATAACATTTCTATGCAGTGTAAAAAGTTGTTTATAGCATTTCATTGTGTTTTTTCAATTCATTTTAGTGAAATTGATTTTCTGTTTGAATTTTTTCTTGGTCTTCATGACTCCATAAGTTTTATATAATTCATATGACAGCTTTACAATATGAATATTCTAAAACCCCAGGTTGTACTGAAAAAAAACAAAGTATACTGCTTGACTCTGCATCAAAAGATG